ATGACTCCTGACCTTGCTCACACCAGCATGACCCCTGACCTTGCTCACACCAGCATGACTCCTGACCTTGCTCACACCAGCATGACCCCTGACCGTGTTCACACAAGCATGACCCCTGACCTTGCTCACACCAGCATGACCCCTGACCTTGCTCACACCAGCATGACCCCTGACCTTGCTCACACCAGCATGACCCCTGACCTTGCTCACACCAGCATGACTCCTGACCTTGCTCACACCAGCATGACCCCTGACCTTGCTCACACCAGCATGACTCCTGACCTTGCTCACACCAGCATGACCCCCTGACCTTGCTCACACCAGCATGACCCCTGACCTTGCTCACACCAGCATGACCCCTGACCTTGTTCACACCAGCATGACCCCTGACCTTGCTCACACCAGCATGACCCCTGACCTTGCTCACACCAGCATGACCCCTGACCGTGTTCACACCAGCATGACCCCTGACCTTGCTCACACCAGCATGACTCCTGACCTTGCTCACACCAGCATGACCCCTGACCTTGCTCACACCAGCATGACCCCTGACCTTGCTCACACCAGCATGACCCCTGACCTTGTTCACACCAGCATGACCCCTGACCTTGCTCACACCAGCATGACTCCTGACCTTGCTCACACCAGCATGACCCCTGACCTTGCTCACACCAGCATGACCCCTGACCTTGCTCACACCAGCATGACCCCTGACCTTGCTCACACCAGCATGACCCCTGACCTTGCTCACACTAGCATGACCCCTGACCTTGCTCACACCAGCATGACCCCTGACCTTGCTCACACCAGCATGACCCCTGACCTTGCTCACACCAGCATGACCCCTGACCTTGCTCACACCAGCATGACCCCTGACCTTGCTCACACCAGCATGACCCCTGACCTTGCTCACACCAGCATGACCCTTGACCTGGCTCACACCAGCATGACCCCTGACCTTGCTCACACCAGCATGACCCTGACCTTGCTCACACCAGCATGACCCCTGACCTTGCTCACACCAGCATGACCCCTGACCTTGCTCACACCAGCATGACCCCTGACCTTGCTCACACCAGCATGACCCCTGACCTTGCTCACACAAGCATGACCCCTGACCTTGCTCACACCAGCATGACTCCTGACCTTGCTCACACCAGCATGACCCCTGACCTTGCTCACACCAGCATGACCCCTGACCTTGCTCACACCAGCATGACCCTGACCTTGCTCACACCAGCATGACCCCTGACCTTGCTCACACCAGCATGACCCCTGACCTTGCTCACACCAGCATGACCCCTGACCTTGCTCACACCAGCATGACCCCTGACCTTGCTCACACCAGCATGACCCTTGACCTTGCTCACACCAGCATGACCCCTGACCTTGCTCACACCAGCATGACCCCTGACCTTGCTCACACCAGCATGACCCCTGACCTTGCTCACACCAGCATGACCCCTGACCTTGCTCACACCAGCATGACCCCTGACCTTGCTCACACCAGCATGACCCCTGACCTTGCTCACACACCAGCATGACTCCTGACCTTGCTCACACCAGCATTACCCCTGACCTTGCTCACACCAGCATGACCCTGACCTTGCTCACACCAGCATGACCCCTGACCTTGCTCACACCAGCATGACCCCTGACTTTGCTCACACCAGCATGACCCCTGACCTTTCTCACACCAGCATGACCCCTGACCTTGCTCACACCAGCATGACCCCTGACCTTGCTCACACCAGCATGACCCCTGACCTTGCTCACATCCAGCATGACCCCTGACCTTGTTCACACCAGCATGACCCCTGACCTTGCTCACACCAGCATGACCCCTGACCTTGCTCACACCAGCATGACCCCTGACCTTGCTCACACCAGCATGACCCCTGACCTTGCTCACACCAGCATGACCTCTGACCTTGCTCACACCAGCATGACCCTGACCTTGCTCACACCAGCATGACCCCTGACCTTGCTCACACCAGCATGACCCCTGACCTTGCTCACACCAGCATGACCCCTGACCTTGCTCACACCAGCATGACCCCTGACCTTGCTCGCACCAGCATGACCCCTGACCTTGCTCGCACCAGCATGACCCCTGACCTTGCTCACACCAGCATGACCCCTGACCTTGCTCACACCAGCATGACCCCTGACCTTGCTCACACCAGCATAGCCCCTGACCTTGCTCACACCAGCATGACCCCTGACCTTGCTCACACCAGCATGACCCCTGACCGTGCTCACACCAGCATGACCCCTGACCTTGCTCACACCAGCATGACCCCTGACCTTGCTCACACCAGCATGACCCCTGACCTTGCTCACACCAGCATGACCCCTGACCTTGCTCACACCAGCATGACCTCTGACCTTGCTCACACCAGCATGACCCCTGACCTTGCTCACACCAGCATGACCCCTGACCTTGCTCACACCAGCATGACCCCTGACCTTGCTCACACCAGCATGACCCCTGACCTTGCTCGCACCAGCATGACCCCTGACCTTGCTCGCACCAGCATGACCCCTGACCTTGCTCACACCAGCATGACCCCTGACCTTGCTCACACCAGCATGACCCCTGACCTTGCTCACACCAGCATGGCCCCTGACCTTGCTCACACCAGCATGACCCCTGACCTTGCTCACACCAGCATGACCCCTGACCGTGCTCACACCAGCATGACCCCTGACCTTGCTCACACCAGCATGACCCCTGACCTTGCTCACACCAGCATGACCCCTGACCTTGCTCACACCAGCATGACCCCTGACCTTGCTCACACCAGCATGACCTCTGACCTTGCTCACACCAGCATGACCCCTGACCTTGCTCACACCAGCATGACCCCTGACCTTGCTCACACCAGCATGACCCCTGACCTTGCTCACACCAGCATGACCCCTGACCTTGCTCACACCAGCATGACCTCTGACCTTGCTCACACCAGCATGACCCCTGACCTTGCTCACACCAGCATGACCCCTGACCTTGCTCACACCAGCATGACCCCTGACCTTGCTCACACCAGCATGACCCCTGACCTTGCTCACACCAGCATGACCCCTGACTTTGCTCACACCAGCATGACCCCTGACTTTCCTCACACCTGCATGACCCCTGACCTTGCTCACACCAGCATGACCCCTGACCTTGCTCACACCAGCATGACCCCTGACCTTGCTCACACCAGCATGACCCCTGACCTTGCTCACACCAGCATGACCCCTGACCTTGCTCACACCAGCATGACCCCTGACCTTGCTCACACCAGCATGACCCCTGACCTTGCTCACACCAGCATGACCCCTGACCTTGCTCACACCAGCATGACCCCTGACCTTGCTCACACCAGCATGACCCTTGACCGTGCTCACACCAGCATGATCCTTGACCGTGCTCACACCAGCATGATCCCTGAACGTGCTCACACCAGCATGATCCTTGACCGTGCTCACACCAGCATGATCCCTGAACGTGCTCACACCAGCATGATCCTTGACTGTGCTCACACCAGCATGATCCCTGACCGTGCTCACACCAGCATGATTTTTGACCTTGCTCACACCAGCATGACCCATGACCTTGCTCACACCAGCATGACCCCTGACTTTGCTCACACCAGCATGACACCTGACCTTGCTCACACCAGCATGACCCCTGACTTTGCTCACACCAGCATGACCCCTGACCTAGCTCACACCAGCATGACCCCTGACCGTGCTCACACCAGCATGACCCCTGACCTTGCTCACACCAGCATGACTCCTGACCTTGCTCACACCAGCATGACTCCTGACCTTGCTCACACCAGCATGACCCCTGACCTTGCTCACACCAGCATGACCCCTGACCTTGCTCACACCAGCATGACCCCTGACCTTGCTCACACCAGCATGACCCCTGACTTTGCTCATACCAGCATGACCCCTGAGCTTGCTCACACCAGCATGACCCCAGGGAAACTAACCTACTGTTTCAGTTAATTTAGATGATACGGAACTAAAAACTACACATTTGGAAACAAGATAAATAATGTGAACATTAAAATGGTATAAAATACCGACAGGTTGTTTCGAAATAAAGATACCTAACTGTTGCATATGTGTCTTACCTAACAAGATAAATAATAATAATAATAACAATAATAATAATAATAATAATTTATTATAAACTTCCAGTATTTTCCAGACAATATATTTGTACATGAGGTTTGAGGTTATGTAGATGAGGACGTTAATTAGTGGCGGTCTATGAAGACGTATATATACGATCTGATAAGATGGATGGTAGGAAGTACCTGCCTCACAACCTGGTGGAAGAGCGTTCATCTTGCAACTGAAAGGACCTAGGGTCAGTCCTGGTGGGCAAGGCTGGACATAGGGGCAAGTCTCTCCACCTGCTGCCTCTGCTGATCTAGCAGTAGATGCCCAGGAGCTAGTGGACTATTTTGGATTGCATCTGAGGACCTACGGTATGGTCCCCAACGAATACTCCGACTATCACTATCTTGGGCTAAGATAAATACTGACTGTCCTGTGTTATGATAAGCCCTGACTACCCTGGCTTAAGATAAACTGTTACTCTTCTGAGTTTAGCTTTATTAAGGACATCAACAAATGTTTCATATATATATATATATATATATATATATATATATATATATATATATATATATATATATATATATATATATATATATATATATATATATATGTAAATGCAGATCTGTACAGTCAATCTAATAGGAAAATGAATGCAAGAAGCATATATTGCTGTTAATAATATAGAATTAATCCAGGACAACCTAACAAAGCCACTGGAAATAAGTCTTTTTTTTTTTGCCTTTCCTGGGCCTCCTAGGATATTATCTCTTCGGAGATAATAATACGAAGTTCTGCTTTCGCCTGCTTCTTGGCTTCACTTGGTCTTCTTATTTTTGTACCTTAATTCAACACAATTTAATGGTTCACAAACTTAC